ATAACACCGGTCGTTATATTACTATTATTCCTATAAAAGCTTTATTATCTAGTATATCTTTAAGGTCTTTATTCTTATAAAATATAAGGCTTTTAATATCGTAAAGTATAGCTTAATCTTTTAGTTTTCTAAGATATCTCTTAGTAAGAGGGACCTAAGAAGCTAAAAAACACTAGTATAGAAAAAGAAAGAGAGAGCTAAAAGGAGGTATAGAGAAGAGGGTAAGGGTAAGAGGGGAAGTAAAAGTAGCGATAGCTTCTTATAAAGGTAGTAAAAGATAAGATAGATATACTAGTAATAGCTAAAATAAAGGGGAAAAACTAGTAAAAAGCTCGGTAGTTAAGAGGATATTAATAGCTTCTTTAAGTAGGATCTTCTTTATTAATTAAGATACTAAATAGATATAAAGAGGGGCGTTAAATAGAGGAAAGAAGTATAATTAAGGAAATATAATAATTATTCCCTTACCGCTATTATTACCCTTATAAGAATTAAATAACTTTACCCTACCTATCTAACCCCTTACCTTCCCTTTTACCTTTATATATTTTATATATACTTCTTATATCTCTCTTTTTAAGAGTTATAAGCCTAGGAGGAGTAGAATTCTTATACCTTCTAGCTACTATAAAAAGCACCCTTTATAAATCCTTCTTAGCCCCTTCCTTTACCCCTCCTACTAAAAAGGCTAATTATTAACTAACTTTTCTACCTCTTTTTATAATAATATTAAAAAACGATTCCTTTACTATCCCTATAGTCTATAAAACGATTCTTATAAAGCCTTAAGATTAAGATAAGTAGGTAAAGGAGCTATAGGCTTTAATAGATAAGACTATCTATAATTTAATCTTCTTTAATAAGTAGGACCCTCTTAAGCCCCCTCTTTATCTTAGGGCAACGAAATTTATAAAAAAAGCTACCTTCTTTTCTAAGCTAACTATACTATAATAAAAGGCTTTTTCTAATACTTTAGGTAACTATAAGGAATACCTTTATAAGATAAAGCTATTAACTACTATATATATAGCTATAATAAAATCTATTAGTACCGCGAAGCTAATCTCTTTTTAGGAAAAAGAAACTCTTAAGTAATAGCTTTTAAAGTAAGACCTTAATAGCTCCCTTAAAGGGCTATATAACTAACTATATTAAGAAGACCTATATAGCCTACTTAAGAGCCGTTTCTACTAAGAACCTTCTAGCCTCTTTATAGCTAGCTAAGTAAAAAGAAATCTTTAAGGAAGCTAACTAATACTTCTTAATAGAAGCTCTTTCTAGCTAGTAGCTATAAGATATATCTATACTTCTAAAGCCTATTAGTAACGGTTACTTAGCTATCTTTTAAGAAGCTAGCTAGGAGCTAGATAAAGAGGCTACTAAAGTATAATAATAAGTAGTCTTATTCCTTCGTAGCTAGTATTCGACCTAGACGGCTCTACCTACTATCCTTGCTACTGCTATAGCTCTTACTACTGCGGCCCCCGCTGCTGCTACTACTGCCCCTTTAGTTTCTCCTCCCTCGAGGGCCTTAACCCTATCGTTAACTACTGCCCCGGTCCCGGCCCCGGCTTCGCCTACTACTTAAGGTCCGGCCCCGTTAGACCGTTCGGCCTAGCTAGTCCCCTAATAGTCTCGCGAAGAGAGATATAAGAAGTATATAAAAATGCACGAAGGTAAAATTAAAAGTAAGGGGTCGGATAGGCAGGGCAAAGCTATTTAATTCTTATTAGGGCAGCAATTAAGGTAGGGGAGTAATTATTCTATTGCCTTAATTCTCCTTCTTTCCTCTATCTAACGCCCCTCTTTATACCTATCTAGCATCTTAATTAATAAAGAAGATCCTACTTAAAGAAGCTACTAATATCCTTTTAACTACCGAGCGTTTTACCGGTTTTTCCCCTTTTTTCTAGCCGTTGCCGGTATATCCGTCTTATCTCTCGCTACCTCTATAGGAAGCTATCGCTACTTCTGCTTCCCTTTATGCCCCCACCCTCCTCTCTATACCTCCTTTTAGCTCCTTCCTTAAAACCTGTTTTTTAGCTTCCTAGGTCCCTCGTGCTAAGGGATATCTCCGAGAACTACGAAATTAGGCCACGCTTCGCGATAAATAGACCTATTAGTCCGTTAGTCGAAAAATCGGGTAGTATCCCTAGCGCCTAAGGCGTTAATAGCGGAAATAAAGATATAAAAAAGTAAGGACTTACTTAGGGATAAGGCCTTAATACTTAAGGGCGTAAAGGTTATAGTATATAGTAGCGGTACTAGTAAGGCGCTTCTTAGTAGCCCCTTATACTTACTTATATATACCGGCCTTTTAAGCTAGGGCTATAGTAAGTAAGATAGGAGGCGCCGCTTTATAAGTATAGCTAGCGCGCGCGTATTTATAATAGCTACCGCGGCGGCGCCGCTTAACTTAATTAAAGTAGTTAAGCTCTTATAATATATAATATATATAAGGGGCTAACTAGGTATCGCTAGCTTATAGTTAGTACTTATACTTTAAGAATTTAGTAGAAAATAGATATTAATACTTATATAATAATAGACTTATAAGGGTAGTAAAGGTAGAGGTAGGGGCTAAGGGGCTAGGTATTATAAGTCGTAGTAGGGATAGCGTTATTATCTAAAAGGGTAATATAGGTATAGCTAGTATAATAGAGGTAGTAATAGCGGCGGTAGGCGCGGTAGTAAGGATATAGGTAAGAGTAGCGGTAGTAGTAGAGTTATTATTAGCTATACTTAGTATAATATTAATAAATAACTTTATATACTTAAAGAAAAAAGAAGTAAGAGAAGGTAAAGTAAATATATTTATCGCGGAAGTTAATATAGTAGAACGCGGCCGTTTACTTTATAAGGTAAGGAACTTACTAGTTACTATTACTATTATTATAGCTATTATTATTACTATAGCTACTCTTACTTATACTAGTTAATAGGGCGGTCTATATAGCTAATAATAAATTAATACCTTAGTTAAAGTAAAACTAACTTATTATTATTATTATAGTAAATAAAGAAAGAGAAGGAAGGGAAGAAAGAAGGGGGGGGATATTACTTTATATACCCCTTAATAAGGGAGGCTACTTAAAGCTAAAAGGGCAGCTAACCTAAGGCTTATAACTATAAAGGCTAGACGCCGGCCGCCTAAGAGCGCTATTAATAAGAGCGCCTTTATTTATATAGCTAGCTAGTTAATAGGTATAGAGCTAAGCGCTAGTTACCTAGGTTAATAAGTATAAGGATAATAGGGCTAGTAAGACTAGCGCTATTAATAAAGGAGGTTAGTAAATAAGTATTATAGGGAGCCTAAGATATAATTATATAAAGGCCGTTAATAAGGCAGCCTAGCACTAGGCTAGAGGAGGGGTATTATATAAGAGTCTTTAACTATTATAGGTTATAAGCTTAGGCCGCGGCCTAAGCTATATAGTTATATATAAAGGGCTAGATCCTATATATATATATATAGGCTAGCCGCCTATAAAAGGGCTCTATATAGCTTATTAATATTATCCTATAGATAGTATTTATATATATACCTCTACTTACTTTATAATAAAAAGTAACTTTAAATAGGAATCTACTAAGCTACTTTAAGCTAGTCTAGGTACCTAGCTTTACCTAAAGTATATACTAATAACCTATAAGTAATTATAGTCTTTTATCTTAAAACCTATTTCTACCTATAGACTAGACTAAAAAAATTCTGCGGCCTATAGGTAGCTACGGGCGTCTACTTTTAAAGTCTACTTTATATTAGGGAACGGCGGCTCCTACTTAAGCGAGTTGCCGAGGTCGCCATGCGTCCCTATGATATATAGCTAGCCGTAAGTCTTATTAATGCCTTTATAGAGCGCGGAGCAGATATGGTAGGTGAGCAGGAGCTTGTGGCTACGGGTGGTGAGTTGCAAGCTGTGACGTGCTTAGTGCCTCTAGGCAAGACTCCCTCTAGAGCTTCGTGATGGTCTATGATAAGTGCCCTGTGGGGCTCGTCAATAACGGGAGGCGAGTTGCGCGAGGTCTGGACAAGAATGAAAGATGTAGTCTGGCTTCATTGCTGTCATTGCTGCCATCACAAACGGCGCGACCTTTACGCGGGAGACGGGCGTCGATTGGTATTGAGTCAAGGCCGAGAAGGATGAGAGTCTTGCAGTATGGCTCCTGAAGTCAAGCCGTCTGCGTCCTTGTCCGGTATAATCAGCCTCCTTTGTTTCGCGGCCACGCCGTTTGATACGTGAGCTTTAAGGATACGATAGAGAGACTGCACGCACTAACCATTCGAGTATCAACTCCCGCGCGGAGCTGGTTTGCTATTTGGGAGCCGGGCAGACCATATCCCCCGCCTTTTCTCGTAGAGGGCGTCGAGTGATAGTCTGGAAATTACATGTTGGCCTTGGGGTCGCTTTGGGGGAGGAAGGTGAAGGTCGTTTCATTGTTTCACAGCCAGATATGCTCTGCCACCTCGAGCGCCGTGATCGAGTCAGCTTCGCTCCCCGGTCCCGGTCTCGATGTCTTTGCTCTGCGAGTGCTAGATGCAATAGGGACGGCCTTAGACGGGACGGACATGGTCCCGCAGCCAGAACAGCGAAGAGTTGACCACCAAGGTATCATCCAGTGACTCGTCCACTTTAACGCCGGATGAAACGTGAGTATGAGTGGTGGGTAAGAAGGGGGCAGATCTCGGGCATTTTATCATGGTTAAGCGAGGCAATGCATGACGTCAATGAAAAGAGCTCAATCGGACACTGCTCCAGCTCCGAGACTGTCTCGTTCATCGCGCGAGTCGGCCAAGTAAAGCAGACCATCTTGATGATTAAGATTCATGCCCAGCTTCGGCTTTATTGTGCTTGACCATCCTGGGCTCGAGTCGAATCAATTGGGGCTCCTGTACCAGCTCCTGCCAGCATCTAAGCTTACCGACATGGTCATGCGCATCAATCTACGTAGTTTCCTGACAGAGGAAGACTGGCACGCTCCCGCCGAATACAAAACTTTTAGAATGACACGACGCGTGGCGGAATCCCCAGTTTCGGCTCCTGCTGCCGAAGCCATTCTTTGGCCTCATCGACCCCCAGGCCTTCATTGTCAAACTGCCATGCGACTAGCTCGTCCATGGCCGTCTTCACAAAGCCCCCACCCTTCGAGACTCCAAAAAGCTCCATAATGACGTTTCCATCTAGTAATGGTCGCACTCCATATGCATCTTCTAGGCCTCTCTGCACTACAAAGTCGAGAAATCCATTGTATTGCTGCAGTAGCTTCGTCGATGCAGCATCGTCCATGGACGAAAACGACTGTGGTGTTGGATTCGCTTCATAAACAAGTTCGGCCAGCAGCGAGTAGATGAGCTGCACCTTCCAGGCGGCGCCCCAAGCACGGATTGCCATGCCGACGGTGCTCCTAGCTGGGGGGGGCTCGAGCTGGTTGCTGATGCGGGTGACCATGGCACGGATCGAGTCAATGTTTCGAAGCGCCTGGTCGAGGAGCTTGGAAGTCTTAGCGGTGGCCTTTATCGCTTCTGCGGCCGTCTCGACTGCATGTTGCAGCATATCATGTCGCAAACCGGCAATGGGGGCGTAGGCAGCCATGACCCAGAGGCTTTCGGCAATGTCGTCGGACTTGACAAGTTTGCCAAGTCGACTGCAACTGTCGTTGAGGAGGGCCGCAAGGAGGTGGTATGCGCGCGGCCAGGTGGCGGGCCATTGCTGATGCGGCTCCTGGAATGGAAGCCTATTCACGAGGGCTTGACGGAGTGATGAGTCGAGTTGGAGAAAAATTGGGGCGTAGAGGTTTGCCTGGTAGATGAGGTGAAAGGCAAGTTGCGGGTTGGGCTGCTTCATGATTTTAAACAGCTCGATGCCGACTCTCTCGCGACTGACCTTGGCGGTCAGAGCTTGGTGAATATCTTGGTCCCTCATGCACTTGCTGGTTTTGTCGTCAATGGTGTATCCGAGCTTGCTGCCAATACGTATCAGGCGCAAGACTCTGAGCGGGTCGTCCATGAAGGTTTGTCGGGCCTCAAGCGGCGTCCTGATGATGCCGGCAGCCATGTCATGCAGTCCCTTGCCGGTAAGGTCAACGACTTTCTGGGAGTCGAGGTTGAAGAAGAGCGAGTTGACGGTGGCATCGCGACGAAAGGCATCTTGCTCAGCTGTTCCGAACTCCATAACGGGGGTGCGGCTGTCTTGGTCGTACACCTCTTTGCGCAGGTTGACAATGTCGACGTCGAGGCCAAAGATGTGGCCAATGGTCGTCTCGAGCTGCTTCGACTTTCTGAGGTTCTGCTTGGTGGTGTGCAGGCCACTCATTGTGGCGTTCTGGACCCCGAGCTCGCGCGCGCGCTGCTGGTATCGCTGCTCGTTTTGCTGGAAGAAGTCTGCGAGGGCGTCTCCAAATGCCTGGCCTGTCATGGTGCTGACGGCAATGTCAATGTCGGAGCAGGGAATGTCGAGAAGTCGATCGCGGACCCAGCCGCCTGTGAACCAGATGTCGAGGTTGGACGCAGTGGCAATCTTGGACTGGGCCATGTGCTCTCGGCTGTCAAGCAGAAGCGAGCGCAGCAGGCTCTCGGCGGGCAACAAGGTGATGGTCTCATTTTTGCGCGTCATGGGGTGCACGCGCAGTGGGGATGCTTCCAGGGGCATTTCGCGGTCCCCTATCTCGGTGAGACTGACGCTGGTAGAGTATCCTACTTGCGTCGCCATCTTGATCCTCTTCTGCTGCGGCTCCATGGTGGTCAAAGGGTGCCGTTGTTTGGATGCATGGAAGAAGAGCTTGGGGCTGCGGATCAAGTCAGCCTTTTGGATGTTTGCGTCACCCAATCCGAGTCGCAGATAGTAAGAGGAAGTCGAGCGCAGAAGTCGCAAAGATGGAATCGTCCACTTGTGCATATTCTAGACGTGCCGTCGTCAACGGTTGAAAGGATGACTCAGAGCATCACCAGTGGTGGACGATGAGCGATTACCTCAGCAAGACCGGCATCCGCTGCACCATGCCTAATTTAGAAGCTCCGCTTAACTTGCGGCAGATTACGGCGAGCTCAAAGTCATGTATTAGTGTCACGACCCAACGAGGGTCTCAAAGACTCAACAAGGGTCCCAGTGGGCCACAGACTAATGTGCGTGCAGCTATTAAAGGTTGGGCTCACGCCCACACGCACCAACAGGCGCGCCCCTTATCCCTATAAGCGGAGACGATGCCATCGCCGTATCCGGAGGAACCGAATGCGGTAGTTAACCTAAGGGATGCTAAGGAAGTCGCTTAACGGATCCGGATAACCGTAAGCCGCCGGATTAGTAGGGAAACCTATTCCCTCCTATACTTTATATATATATATAGTTATATCTATAAACTCCCTCTTTTAAGTAAGATAGTATAATCTATACCCTCTTTCTTTAATATAAAGACTTAATAACTAGTAATAGTTATAAGCTTAGTATAAGTTAATAGCTATTATCCCTTTATATTATTTAATTAATTATAATATAAGGAAGTAAAGCTATTTATAGCCCCCTCTTATACTATTAACCTTAATTTCGCAACGAATATTATATCTTACTAAGAAACCCCCTTAAAGATATAGTCTTTATTAAACTTACGATAGTATAATAGGTCGGCCCTACGAGGGCTAAAGCGGTGGTCACACTACTGTTCGTTGCTGCGGGGCAGCTATTTAATACTACTACGTTAAACGGCGGCAGGGCAAAAGAAGACGAATTAACTAAGCTGCCTAGCTAATTAATTAACCACGCCTATTAATAGTCGGTTGCACGGGCGCGCATAGCGTGGCCCAGCCCGTAATAGATAGAATTATCTTCTTCCTTCCTAAAGCTAACGTATACTCTTAGGAAGCCTAAAGACTAGACTAAGTAGTATAGGTAAGTAAAGAATACCGCTATATAATACTAACTTTAGGCCTATATTAACCCTAATAATAGTATAGTTCCTAAGAAGCTATAAAGGCTAATTTTTAACTATAAAGCTAAAGATAAAAAAGTAGTAGCTTCTAAGGATACTTAAAACTAAGAAGAAGTACTATAGGCTATAGCTATATTAATATTACTATTAATAGTAGGACTAGTAACTAAGACCCCTACTTAAGATAATATAATAAGGCCTTTATTACTTTCTTATTTATAGAGGAATTAAAAGAAGCTGCCTTAATTAGCGTAGGTTAGGTAATACCGCTCTTAAAGCTTAAAAAATATTAGCTCTAGGTATAAGGCTCGCATACTTTAAGTATATTATAATTTCTACCTATAATAGAGATAACTATAAGTAGTAGTAAAGGTAAAAACTACTTATACTAATAAGTAACTATATTATAGTAAGCTTCTTAATATAATATAATAATTATATCTTTATAGCTATTATAGTAAGGGCGAAGCTATAAGAGCTTATATTAAAGGTCTAGCTTAGTAAAGAAAAGAAAAGGATTACGCTAAGGCTGCCTTATAGAAATTACTTACCTAAGACCTTAAGAAGGCTAACCTTACCTACTAAGTTATTAATATTATAGACGGCTTCTACCTTTATAAGAATATCTTTAATACTCTAAGAGAGGAAAGAGAGATTAATTAGTAGTTCCTATAAGCTATTAAAAAGAGGTTCCTATTATAGTCCGATATATAGTATAAGGATTTTACTATAGCCTTAAAGTATAAAGAAACTACGCTTATATTTATTAAGATAACTAGCTCCTTTTATAATACCTTTATTACTAACTCCTTTATACTAAACTTAGCTTTCTTTATTACCTTTTATAGAAGGGACTAATAAGGCTAGTAGGCTTAAGGGAAGCTAGAATTTAACCTAACTAAGAAAGAGATTAATAGGGTTATATAGAAATAGTATAAAAGGGAGTATATCCTTAAGGACTTTATAAGGGAGTCTTAAACTAAGTATACTTATATAACTAATATAAAACCTACCTATTAATAATATCCCTTAAAAAGGATATTCTTAAAAAAGTAAAGGTAGCCCTTAATAAAGAACTAGCTATTAAGGTTAAAATTATAAAATAAGTTTTAAAGGAAGCTTAAAAGTATAATTAAAAAGCTAAGTAAGTTAGATAGGTATTTATAACTTACTAACTTAGCTAGTTTATTAATAGACCTATTAGTCCGTTAGCTAAAAAATTAAGGAACTATTTAAAATAGAACCTCTTTATTAAAATTAGTAATAGGGTATAAAAAGGGGGGGTTTTTAAGTAGACGTTTTAGATAGGGCCGAGGATTCCTTAAAGAGATAATAAGTAAGGAGGAATCGACCTACCTACTAAGTATATAAAAAGCCCTATTAGCTAAAAGACTATTAGTAGGTGTTTAAGGAATATTATCTATTTAAAATTATATTTCTTAGAGGACTAAAAGACGTTATTAAAAAGTCTCTTAAAGAATACCCCTTATTATAGAAAAATATAAATAAGATCTAGGTTACTAGGAAATAGTAACTAACGCTACTACCTTTATTCGACTTATAATTTAAGGGAAAATCGTTAGTATAGTAAATCCGGCCTTTATCTTCCTTATAGATTAGTAAGACTACTTATTAAGACCCTCTAACTATCCCCTATAAAAATTAGCTATCCTTAATTCTAGTACTTCCCTTAATATCTATAATACCCTCTTATAATTCTAGTCCTTTAAGAAGGTATAGAGGGAATACTTTATTACTATAGAATTAACTATATAGATAGAAGGATATAGAAAGGTAAATCTTATAATAAAATTACCTAATAGTTCTATATAAATTCTTCGATAAAAAAAGGTAGCTTTTTACCTTTAATTTCTAATAAGCTTAATTTCCTTCTACTTTCTTTAAAACGAAGGAATCTTCTAGGATATAACTTCTAAGCCTATAAGGCTAAACTAGATAAATTAAAGGATTAGGCTTATTAAGGAGAAACTTAGTTAATTTATTTTCGAATTATAAATTATTTTTAGGAAGGAACCTCTTAAGAAGTTAGCTTTCCCTACTAAGAGGAATAGGTCTACTATAAAGAACCCTCTTTTAATAGCTTAAGGAGACGGTCTTCTTTAGTACGTACGACTTAGTTACCTAGGCCCCTTAGCTTTATATTAGCTAGGCTAGTAATAAGGCGTTTAAATTAAAGGCCCTAAGACCGTTAAATATAAATATTATAGCTAAGGGAAAACTAAGAGAAGAATTTCTAAACGAACCCCTATATAGATAGACTAGCTATATAAGGAAACTTAAGTTAACTAGACCGATGTCTATAAGGACTAAGAAAGCTTTATTAAGGTAATATTTCTTATAGACGCTTTTTTAAGGATAGTTTTCCCTTATTTCTTTTAATATACCTAAGTAAGTATAACTAGTTTACTTTTTAAGACTTTATTAACTAAATAAATCCTACTTTAACTATAAAGTAAAGAAGATATAGTTTAATAAAGAGCTATTTATAAAGGATATCTTAAATTAGCTTTAAAAAAGGGGTATTTTACCTCTCCTATTAGTACTAAATACCTAGGCCTAGAACGGAGTAGTAGAAAGATTAAGGGGGACTATAATAGAAAGGGCCTATATAATAAGACTTACTATATCTTAAGGTATATAAGTAAAAGTAGAATTTTAGGAAATTAAGGGATTACGTAAGACTAATAGAAGGGAAGAAGGAGTATAAGGTAGGAATTTTAACGGAATTTATAAGTAGTATATTAGTATATAGAAGAGGTATTAAAGTTAATAATTTTATCTCTATTTACTAGCGGACATACTATCTTATATAGATAATTATAGCTAAATAAAAGAACCTTTCGGGACTAGATTTAAGCTGCTATATATCCTTAAGACTAAGAAATTCTATAATACCTTAAGTATATCTAGAAGTATCTTAGTTCTACTAATATTCGTATTTAAAGGAGGTTAGTCGTACTAGTATTCTTAAGAGGTCTTAGCTAGTATTCTAAGCTAGCTCTAGTTCTTCGATTCCTAATTATACGATAACCGGTAACCCGTTTAATATATAATAATATATAAAATAATAAGCGATTCTTACTTTATAAGATAGGATTTTATCTATAGTTAATATACTACTTATTAGCTTATATAATCGGGAGAGTATATTATAGCTACTTTATTTATAATAGGAAAACACCGTTCCTTATACTATAAGGCTTCCTTATAACCTTTAAAGGGAAATTATTAAGACCGGCTATTACCTTTAAAACTAAACCTTAATAGACCCTAGGGACCTAAGGGACTATAGGGACCTAGAGGCCCTATTTATAACCTAAGGTATAGACTAGAAATACCCCTTTAAGCTCTTTATAAAGAGGAGGGCCTCGCTAGCCTACCTTTATACTTATAGCTAAAAGGTATATACTATAACTACTAATACCTAGCTAAAAAGGAAGAAGAAAAGAAAGCTTAATCTTAGAGCCTTTATTAAATACCTTATTAGATATAATTCTATAAGTATCTTTTAAATCTAGACTCCTTTTTTATAGAAGGTTATTTTAACTAAGGACGTGATTTTTAATAAATCTAGCTTCTTTAAAAAAGAAGGATTAATAGCCCCTTTTACTCTCTTAATATTAGTTAATTTAAAAGATATAAATTCCCTACTCTTAATAGTCTTAATAAGAGGTCTTAGATAAGGAAATAAAAAAAGAAACTAACGTTAAAGTAGTTATAGATACTGCTAACTTTAACGAAGAGGAAGCTACTAAATTAAATAATTTAAACGAAGAAGGAGACTATAAGAAAG